CTTGGCGGAAGCGCCATATTTTGCGACACTGCCCTCCTCTTAAGGTTGATTGTCCCGATCAACTCTGCGCCCATAATATTTCATCAATCTGTCCAAATGTACAACTTTCATCTTACTCCTGATGTTACGCTGAACTCGATAAACCAAATCATTAATCCTCTTGATTATTCTGTAGGTTCCTTCTCATGCTGAAGACAATTTCGGCGAAACTCCTTTCTTTCTTGTTGGATTATACAGCTCCCAAGCAAAATCATGTATCTCCAGAAGTCGTGGCCTTACTTCGTCAGCATAATCTCGAATTTCTTTTCGTTCTTCTTCAGATACTCCAAACATGAGATTGCAAGGTAACCTGAGTTCTCTTCCAAAAACGATTCTAGCTGGACTTTCACCTGTTACTCATGAACAGCTGCTCTGTAAGCCATTAGCAATAGAGGCAAATGTTTGTCCCAATCTCGCTGGTTCTTTGCGACTACTTTTGTCAGGTGTTCCTCTATGGTCTTAATACATCGTTTTACCATGCTATCAGACTGTGGATATAAAGGTGTGGTCCCTGTCTTACGAATTCCCATGATGTCACAAATTTTCTTAAAGATGGCAGATTCGAAGTTTCGTCCCTGATCTGAATGTAACTCTAGTGGCACTGCATGACGACTAAACACTTTGTCCACTAGCACCTGAGCAATAGGCTTCTTGATTGGGATTAGCGCCAAATTCTAACCATTTATAGAAGTAATCCATGATAACCAAGATGTATTTATTACCACGCTCTGACTCAGGGAACGGTCCGGCTACATCTATCGCTATTCTTTCAAGTGGGAGACCGACGTTGTACTGTTTCATGGGCCCCCGAGATCTTAGTTTAGGGCCTTTACTGGTAGCACAGATGTCGCATTTTCGGCACCAGTTTTTAATATCTTCATGATAGTGGACCCAGTAAAAACGTTCTCCAATTTTGTCCAAAGTCTTGTTTACTTCAAAATGTGCCCCTAAAGTTCCGTCATGTATTTCTTTTAATCTGCGAACTTGTTTCATTCTCGAATAGAATGTTCTAGAATTTTCTTGAAATTTCTTTTTTGAATGTCGATTCATATAGCAAACACGTCGGTGAAGTCATAAATTCGATATCTCCCTTGGTTTCCAAATAGAATTTTCTAGAACTTACTTGAAAATTCACTATCACACTCAAAATCGGTTATACAGTCACTTCTGGTGTAATTTACACAATCGGTCAAGTCTCTTTAGGTGATTGTCACTGCTTACACTGACAAACTGTCCCAGTGTTTACTTAGTGTCCACACTAGTGTCTGAAGTAGCCGCACTATTCTGCAACCGGATTTCACTTTGCATTCCTCGAATTATATCTCACTTCTGACATCAATGTCACGGCTCTGGGGTGCGTGACAGAAATCTTGGGTCCGTTTATTCCAAAATCAAAGTCCTATTAACACAGCAATAATTTATTCCGCGTTACTACACACTCTGACACTAATTACTTCATTAATTAACTCAAACAACTTAACTCTTCACAACTTTACAGTATTAACTATCTAAATCATGTCACAGTCGCTCGTGAAAGACTAGTCGTTGCTAAGATAGGATAAATCCTTGAGGAATACTGGCATTGGTGGATTAAACTTCTGGTGAAACTACATCAACCTGAAGAGAGATGTGTTTTGGAGACATGCACATTCTTTGCTGAACCAAAGGTTGTCAGTTGAAATGAATCGATGTTTTCATTGGCTGAGAAAGACTTTTCGGATGTACAGCATACTGCATTTTGAATGTTCGGAAATGCCTCTTACGTCTAGTTTGCATTACTGTTATGCCAATTTTTTTGAGGTTAAGCTTCATAGGAGGACTGGCATAACTACGAGCAAGAATTAGTGGTTGTTCGGAGTATCTCAAAGGGGCAAATGATTTTCTACAGCTCTGGGAAAATAGTGAATAACATGTCGAAGAGCTTGATGATGCTTGGCGTCATGTATTCTAATGGGACAAACCGCAGCTCCAATGCTGGAAGTAACTTCAACCCAACCAAGTCAATTGTCCTCGATGATTGCGAGAAGAAGTTACCGTGTGTATGTTTATTAGGAGCCAAGATGTATTTCACAGTATTCCTCAATAACATTTTGAGCTAAATTTGAGAGTAGAGGTGGGAAACTATCGATATATCGATAGCTCGTTGCGGAATTAAAAATATCGAACTATCGATAATTTTCCCTAGACTATCGAATACTATCGGATTTTGTATCATTAAATTGGTAACACTGGCCGAATTTTTTTATTCATCGATGGATCCATCTGCTGAAAGCATTATGAGACAGCCATTCCGATTTTCTATGAACTAGACAAAAATAGACTGGTCATCGATGAAGCCATCGGTGAATAAAAGGAAGCGCTTACTGACTAGGAGTGGTGACAGGTCGACAACTAATGCTGAATTCTGACAAGAGAGGATATGAGTGACGAAGTGACAGATGGCCGACGCAGGGGGACGCATCCATTTCGCGCCATTTCATTTATTATTATTAATTATTATTTATTTCCAATTTTCCAGTGAGGAATGTGGAGATAAAAAGCATTTTAGGAAGCTGGTCAAGAAATATTTCTGTATCCCAGCTACTTCAGTGCCTTCGGAAAGGTTATTCTCGAAGGCTGGTAATATTTTGACAGTTAAAAGATCCAAACTTACATCAAAAATATAAATTTGTTGTTATTTATTAATCAAAATAAATGGTTACTTTCTTAAAACCGATAGTACTATCGATATATCGATAGTTAATCAACCACTACTATCAAACTATCGATAGTTTTTGAATTCGATATTTTCCCACCACTATTTGAGTCTTCCGATTATATCGAAGATCTATGGATCTGGTTATGAGAGTACGTCAAATGGACGTTGTTATAAGCCTAATAGACCGATCTCCTATTACCTCGACTGCGCGCCTCGCTTGTAGGCTGCAGGTGAGCGTCCAATGAGAAGCAAGTTTGTGACAGGCTTGCGTCATATTCTTATTCACGGGCCAGTTCAGAATGAATCGTTCCTTCTTTCTTTGTAACGTGTAATTTGACAAAGAGCAAACAATACTTTACATATTACTTGAACTCAGCGCAGTTTCGTTTAAGGTTATGTTAGATTATACTTGACATATTCCTTTTGCAATTTAATTGAGCGATGTTGCCGGATGAAACATTTATCATAATAAAAGTGCAAACGATGTTCATCCACTTTAAAGCTCTTCTTTTGTCTGATTTAAGGCGTTGTAAAACACTTGACACTATATTACTTCTTTAATGTTATAATGTTCGATTTGTATTGTCTACATTTGTTCTGCAACAATACAATCTGGCTACCCTGCAGCCTACGAGTTTCGCGCGCATGTCATCTTTTATTGCTTTCTAACTTGTATTTATTACAATTAAGCTCTCTTTTTCTAATCATGCGAGATGGGTCTATTGGAGCCCCTGTAAGTGTCAGAATCTCTCTTGAAGTCGATTCTCTAAATCGATTTTGGATTTTTGACGTAGAAGATTTGAATTGTATTTTATCTACCGTGTTTTCTTTCACAAGAAGAATATCCTCCATCTTGACTACTAAAGTAAAAAGATTTTCAGGGAAAGACAGAAGAAAAAATGGAATGATATATATGATCGTTGGATTGAGCTGAGAAAGACAGACGTATTCTGAATTAATGGAAATGTCTCAGGTCGTCCTACTTTGCATTACTGTAATGCCAGCTTTTGGCCAGGTTGGGCTTCAGAAGGGGACTGGAATCGAAAGTGTAGTATAAGGTGTTTGTTCATAGCTTCTCAAAAGGGCGGTCGATTTTGTACAGATCAGGAAAAATAGTGAAGAACGTGTCGAATAACTTGATCATCCCTGACGTGAGGTATTCAGATGGGTTTCAACTAGGACAGACCACAACCTCATGACAAGGCAAATCCTTTAGCTCAGGTTAATGTAGAGATAACGCATTTGATACCTAGTATTCCTCGATAACATTTTGAGTAATGTTTCAGATGGTGAACCAAATAAGAGATTCTGTAAGTGCCAGAATATGTTTTTTCCTCTCTCTGAGTAGATTTTGCATTATCGATGTACCAAAATTACTTGAATGGTGATTTGTATTTTTATTTCTTTCCTAGGAATATGATTCTGTGTTTAATTTACTTAATTGTCAACTTCCGGATTCAGGGCTTTTTATGCCGGTTTTTAATTTTATCTCCGGGCCCTAAATTATTATATTTTCTAGCTATGACAAGTTTAAAGTTAGAAACATTTGATTTATGTCGTTTTTTAGCTAAAAAGCCTAGCCGCACATCCCAGTCAGCTTTTAATTGTTAAAATCCGAATATTTATGTATCGCGCTCAGCCTCTTTTTACATGGCCGCCGACAATATTTCTTAATTTCAAAAGTCCTCTTTTACCCTTTTACCCCCATTACCGTCTCCGCAATGCGATTTTCGGTCGTGTGACACATCCAGGTGCTAAATAACAATTTTCGACGACATCTTTGCTTTTTAGAGCGCTCTTCGCGCGGTAATTAGTGTGAATATGACTTAAATGGCTTGATTGAGAAATATGGGTGGATGGCCTCTGTTGAGCGTGTGTCTGTGGCGGGCGGGGAGAAAGAAATTAGGCAGAAACGTCTAGATCTTAATAAAAACCTCTACATTAATGGGTTATGAGAGTAATATTGCTCATTTCAGTGAAACTCTCTACATTCAAAGCTTTAAGTAGGTATGCTACAAAATAAGAGCATCAGAATTTTATATTTATTGCCTTGATCCCTTTAGGAGGGTAATATCAAGTCGTAGACAATAATAAAAACGGATTTTAGCTTATTTTGCCTCCATTAGTGTACTGCGGGGATGAATATTCAAACGATTTTGGTCTTAACTTTAGCTCTTTTCCTCCTTTATCGTAGCCTATGGGTACCATAGACGTAGAAGCATCTAAATTTTAAAAATTATTAATAATAACATTTTTATTTCAGAAGCTTTGCTTTGGACGAACGTTTGCTGTGCTTTAGTGAAACAATCGAAGTGAGACAAGTTAAATTTCATCCTGGAAGCGTCAGCGATTGCCATGTCTTGGTACTCACCTCCGATAATACGTTAAGGTAAGAACCAAATATACATGCAGCCGTATATATCTCATTGGCTATTAGTTTTTCAATATTTGAATTAAGAATGAAGGCTGGTCAAATCTAGTAAAAAGGTTCTTTCCGGGCTATAATGCCGTGAAGTAATATTTCTACCTAACGTTTCGTCAACTGCTGCGGTAGACATCTTCAGAGGCGGTGTGGTAAAGGACGAAGTGTTCTCTTCCGTGTTCCTCCGATAACTGGATTCGACGTTATTGAACCTGCGTTATTTATATCCAGTGTTGTGAGCGTGGCTCAATGTTGTTTAAAACGAGGTTGCCTGATAACTTTTATGACGTCATCTGTATGCCTCAACATAATTGCAAATCTCCATAAGGCACCCCAAATGCGTCATCAAGTTACCCATTACTAGACAACCTATGAACTTTAGGAACCTTGGGCGTGGCTTATATTAAGCCACTTTCCTTGCCTCTTTCTCGGAAAGGAAAGGTCTTTGTTTTTCGGAGAACTAGCAACCAGCTTTTGTTAAGGTTCATGCCCTCTTCTTTTCTGTTGAAGTTGTTGTGGTGTTTCTGTATCTCTATGGCTTCTCTGTGGAGCCTGGTGTAAAAATGTTAATGCTTGAATCTGGTCGAAACGAATGACATGGTTTGTTTGTGTTTACACGTGTTCGGCGATTGCTGATCTATCTATTTGTCTCTGCTGACAGTTTTTTTTGTGCTCTTTCACCCTGGTGTTGATAGAGCGTTTGGTTGTTGCTACATAGACAGATCCACAAGCAGCCTGAATACAGACAAGAACATAATAGTCCTGCCTGCGGATAAAAGAAACGCAAAGGTAATCATAAACTATGAATCAAAAAATTCCGAACTCCTAGACCCCTCCACCTATAGAAAGCTGAAACGCAATCCCTCTGCTTCTATATTGCGAAAAACCAATCGACTCATCTGAGCACTTCCGTTGGACCTGGAAATTACCTATAATATATGGCTTCCGAAGATTCACAAAACAGGTAACCCACTCAGACCCAGTGTAAGTGCAATAGATTCGCCACATACAACATAGCCAAATACCTCACCACTATCCTTCAGCCACGGATTGGCCAATCCAGCTCTTATGTTAAAGACTCAACTCATTTTATCAAAAAGATCAGTGACATCACTCTACTGCCAGTATCTGAAAGATGTTTTTCCGGAGGAAATCAACAACTTATTTCACCACAGTCTGACGATACGTACTTCCAATGGCAAAATGAATTCTTTTAGCAGACAGATGGAGTCGCAATGGGGAGTCCACTCAGCCCGGTTATCGCCAACTTCTACATGGAACACTTTGAACAAATGGCACTGCGATCGGCCACAAAGAAACCTACTTGTTGGTTTCGCACTTTTGTAGTTTGGAACCGTAAGCAATAAGTAAACGCAGGACAGATGTGAAGTAGAAGATGCGTAAAGATTGATGTTCTGACAAGTACAACCACAGTACAACTACAAAGCTTCAATGTCATAAAAATAAATCATATATCAAGGAAACTTCTTAGCTGATGTATTAGTGGAAACTTCTTTCTTCAACACTTCCTCTTAATACAACAGTCTTCTAAAGTTCACATCATTTTGATAAACCTATATCTTTAACACAAAACTCAAACTCTGTCTAAATAATGGCTTAATACAAATGTCAGCCGTCATCTTGTTTGTTGAAAGATATGCTAACTGAACTTCATAATTTTCAACCTTTTCTCTTATGAAGTGAAAACTCACATCAATGTGCTTTATTTTTCTGTTCAGAACAGGATTACTTGCAATTTTTTGAGCACTTTGATTGTCATTGTAAACTTTCGCAGGTTTTGAAAAATTTACAAGTTCTGATAACTATCTTTTTAAATGTATTGCTTCTTTTGCGGCATCACTGATTGCCATATATTCAGCTTCACACGAAGACATGGCTGTTAGCTGCAATTTTATGCCATTTTGCTTTAGAAAATTCTTCAAAATATTGTTTGAGAATTCTTTACCATTGTTACTTCGGACTCTTTTTATCTTCAAATTACATTCATTTTCTACTTGCTGTTTGAATTCCTAGAAAACTTCACTCTTTTGTCTGAGAAAATAGACAAAAACTTTTCACGTAAAGTCATCTATCAAAATATACAGACTTCCTCCCCAAGAATCTATGGGCATGTGTCCACACAGATCCATGTGCTGCTCCAACTTTTCGTGAGTGGAAACCTCTGTTCGTTGCATTTTGAACGGTTTCCGGCTGTGTTTTCCATGAATACAGGACTCACAAGGATCGTCAAGGATTTTTGTTAGAAAAATCTAATCCTATAGCCATTTTGTCACGAAGAAGTTTCATACTGATACGGTCTTTTTTGACATTTCTGCGTTTGAAAAATTGGCGTGTGGGGTTTTGTTTAGATTGAGGCAATAAATAGACTCCACTAGTTTCAGTTGCTGTAGCCACTGTATCACCTTTTATCAAGCAGTTTTCAAGTATCTTGCATCCTTCTTGATCAAATACTACTATAAAGCCTATAGAGACCATCTGGCTTACGGATAGCAAATTAGAGGATAGGTCCAGAACATAGGTTACGTTAGAGATAACCTGGACTGGTGATCTATCCTTCAGACTAAAAGATACATCTCCAATTCCTTGACTGTATAAAATTTGATTATTTGCATCAGCCACTTCCAAGCCAACGTTTCTTTCTTCTGAAAAATTGACCAGCATTCTTTCTTAGAAGTCATATGTGACGAAGCACCAGAATCAACATACCATTTTTGTCTATTTAGTTGACAACCTAATGCGGTAATGAAAACTCCATTTTTGGTTGACTTGTTCTGCTCATACGTTTTATTTTGGTTAGAAGTAGAAGGTCCACTGACTTTTGTATTTGTACAATTTTGCTTATAGTGTCTCACAGAACGACCTTTCCAACACCAAGGCTTTGTCTTTCGCATTATTGACCTTATTTTTCTTAGACCACAAAGCTTTATTTAAATTGTGTTTATCATTCTCCCACTTTGTATCTTGTAATTTGGATTTGATCAAATCACTCGTGATCCATGCACCAGAGTGTTCAATCGCCATTATCATAAGATCATAGCTTTCTGGCAATCCTTGAAGCATCATAGCGGTAAATTTTGGGCTCTCGGGAACGGGTTATAAGGCGTTTTCTGATCAAGTTCATTTTTGGTACACATATATAGGACGTCACAAGAAATTGTTCCACAAAAAAAATGACCTTGACTGTGACGTTGACCAATAAAATTCCCGTAAATGGCAGTTTATCGTGCTGAAAACTTGTATAGTGTTAAAAGGCATCTCAAGTAACCTATATACCGAGTTATAGCCTCCAAGGTCATACACATCCAGAGATACGGCAACCCCGCATTCTCAGTTTGGGCTCTCGGGAACGGGGTAGTCCGTTTGAGTTCATTTTTGGTATACATATGAATCTCAAAGAGAAGATCCTCGGAAACGTAAATCCACCAAAAACCTGAAAAACTTTTACAGTGTATCCACTAGTAACCGAACTGCATCAAAGCTGATAAAATGCAAATTGCCATAACTGAGAATGCGGGGTTGCCGTATCTCCAGTTATGTGTGACCTTGAAAATTGAAAATTGAAAATCGATATGTACGTCACTTGAGATGCCCTTCAACGTTATACAAGGTTTCAACTCGATAAATTGATATTTACGTAAATTTCGCTAATCAAAGTTACGGTCAAGGTGAAATTTTATTAGAAAAAATTATCTTAGCGTCTTATTTAAGTATGTGTACCAAAAGTGAACTCAATCGGACTATGCCTTCTAGCCTTCTACCCTGTTCCCGAATCCCAAACTGAGAATGCGGTGTTGCCGTATCTCTGGACGTGTATGACCTTGAAGGCTAAAAAGCGGCCTTAAGTATACCAAAAATGATCTCAATCGGAGTATGCCTTCTACCCCGTTCACGAGAGCCCTAATCATCCATTTTAGAAAAATTTTCTAACCTCTTACTACATATGGTTCAAAGAAATCTGATTCTCCGATTGAGACCATTATCCTCGTAAGTTGCTTTCAAATTATACCAAGCATCAATAGCTTTTTCACATTCTCTTATGTGAGGATAACAGCTAGATTGAACCCTCAAACAAATCTTTGTAAGACCTTTTTGATCTTTCTTACTTTTTACTGCTTCTGTAGTCGTATCGCTTTCTGGATAGCCATTCATAGAAACCGAAAGATCTTCACGACGAAGTAGCATCTTCATGGCAAACGACCAATCACAATAATTCTCACTTCCCGCTCTTAACTTATCAAAAGAAGGAACTGAACTGGAAGTTTCTGCATAACTTACTGTAGTAGACATAATTGAAATTTGTTCGAAAAAATGTCTATAAGATCCTACCTTAAAAAAATAAAATAAAAATTCTTAACAGTTGGAGTCTACTTCAAAATTCTCTTGTTGCAGTTTCAGAGGTTGACGAATCTTTTTGTGATTACGTCTGCTGGCCTATCTGGGCCCGTAACCATTGTAAGCAATAAGTTAACGCAGGATAGATGTGGAGTAGGAAGTAAAAGATTTGTAAAGACTGATGCATAAACTAAGAACGTTTTTATAATGAGAAATATTATATTAGTCTGACAAGTACAACTACGACAACTACAAAACTTTAAGCTCATAAAAATAAATCATATATCAAAATGTACTGGGAAACTTCTTAGCTGATGTATTAGTGGAAACTTCTTTCTTCAACAGGAACCATGCCATGGACAGGCAGAACTCGAAAACTTTTTTAATTATCTAAACTCAATGGAACCCAGGATACAGTTCACGATGGAAATTGAGAAGGACAACAAAATTGCATTTTTTGACTTCCTCTTAGAAAAATTACCCTCAGGGAAACTGGGACACAGAGTATATAGGAAGCCGATGCATACGGACAGATACCTCAACAAGGAATCCAATCACTATCCCGGACAAAAGAGGGGAGTCATCAAAACTCTACCTGACACGGCAATCCTGATTTGTCAACCCAGATACCTTCAGGACGAGATGCAATACATGAAATCAGCTCTTGAAGGAAATGATAAGGAACCAGCACAGGTGGCAGGGAGAGCCTTTCTTCCCTACATCAAAAATGTCAGGTCTCATAGGACGAACGCTAGAAAAACACAACATTTAGCCCATTTAGAAACTGGCTTGGCTGGCGTTTATAGAATTCCCTGCTCTTGTGGATCTGTCTAGGTAGGAACAACCAAACGCTTTATCAATACCAGGGTCGAAGAGCACAAAAGAAACTGTCAGCAGGGACAAATAGATAGATTAACAATCGCCGAACACGTGTTAACACAAACAAACTATGTCATTCGTTTCGACCAGACTCAAGCATTTGATAGGAGCAAACATTTTTACACCAGGCTCCACAGACAAGCCATAGAGATACAGAAACACTACAACTTCAACAGAACATGAACCTTAACAAAAGCTGGTTGCCAGATCTCCAAAAAACAAAGGCCCTTCCTTTCAAGACAAGGAAAATAGCGTAATACAAGCCACACCCACAACCCTGGATATAAATAACGCAGATTCAACAACGTCGAATCCAGCCTGCTACCAGTCCTAGTCAAAGTAACTGAACGAGTTATCAAAAGAGAGCTGCAGGACACCATCAACCGCCTCAACTTGTTGCCAAATGAACAAATGGGCCTCAGACAACAACACTCCACCACTCACCAAGCCACAAGGCTCTCTTACACCATACTAAAAGGTGCCAACAGAAGAATGGAAACAGGGGCGGTGTTCCTGGACATATCCAAGGCATTTGACAAAATGTGGCACCAAGGCCTGATACTCAAAATGCTAAGAGCCAATGTGCCTCATTACATGGTCAAACTAATCAGATCATTTCTAAGCGAAAGAAACTTCTGCGTAACATTGGACGGAGCCACAAGCAACATGACAAATTCAAGAAGGCGTGCCACAAGGTTCACTTCTCAGTTCCACACTCTTCAACTTATACATGGCGGATATCCCAAGATCGAGAGAAACCTCGCTATTGGCCTACGCAGATGATACGGCCATCACTGCTACCGCTAGAAGCAGACATATTATCAGAGCCCGACTCCAGCGTCACCTTGGCAGGGTTGCCAAAGTGCCAGTAATTACTGGCATTTGCCAGTAAAAAAAACACCTTGTCAGTAAAGTCTTGGTGCCAGTGATTTGCCATTAATTTAAATATTTCATCAAATTTTACTACTTTTCTGAAGTCCAAGATTAAAATCTAAAATTATGACAATCTTGATATGATTGTCATAATTTTTAATTTTTGACCCCTAAACAAGAGAGGAAAATGTCTTTGCTCTGCTATGGGCGGATTCCTATTTTTCTGATGAGGCGATGAGCAGTCTATCTTTGTCTAATATATAGGAATTTGAAATAACTGACTCATGTCATGAGGATATGATGAACACAAATTCAAATTCTATTGGTAACTAGCGAGAATGATCCCTCTCAAGCCAAGGTCTTGAAACTTGACGTCATCATTTCTGATTTGGAAATGTGAATACAAAAAGAGTCAAGACTTGTGTCTGACTTGAAATCGCCTAAAACTAAAACCTCAATTCGACTTTTTGTATTTGCCAGTAATTGCCAGTAAAGGTGGAATTCCTTGCCAGTAATTTTGCAAAGAGCAATTGGCAACACTGCACCTTGGTGAACTTGAAAACTAGATGGACAGAGGGAGACTGAGGGTCAATCACAGAAAAACCCAAGCTATCATGTTTGGCAAAAACCAAAAGTGGACTCCAAAGGAGAAATTGAAATGGAAAAACACACCACTCAATTGGAACAAAACAGCCAAATACCTGGGAATCCTCTTCGACAATCACCTCAACTGGAAAAAACACATTAAGTATGCCAGAGACAAAGCACAAGTCCAGCTCAAACAACTCTACCCGCTTCTCAACCGAAAGAGCAAACTAAACAGCAAGACAAAAATCAACACTTACAAAATATTCATCAGGCCTGTAATAACCTACGGAGCCCCAGCATGGTCCACCACAGCCACTCCACGAAACCTCCTGCCATTATCAACATTGGAAAATCGCATACTGAGAAATTTGACTGATGCACCATGGTTCGTCCGTAACACTACCATACGCAGAGACACCCAGCTACAGCCAAACCAAAACCACATACCATGCCAAAATCTATAACCTCAACATAGGATCCGCCAAGAAGGACCAACAAATAAACTGATCTAACAGGACCTGTTATCGGAGGAACACGGAAGACAACACTTCGTCTTCTATCACATCGCCTCTGAAGATGTCTACCGCAGCAGTATGTACACGAAACATAGGTAGAAATATTACTCGACCACGACATTATAGCCCGGAAAAAAACTTTTTTTTTACTAAATATTTAAAATGTTCTGATGAAAACTCAAACTGCATTTGAATTTCTTTTATAATATTTCTTATTTCAGACTTTATCAGATAGAAAAAAATGAAGCTCTAAACATAGGAGAATATCAAATTGGTAAAAAACCTAGCGGAATGTTTCCCGGCACTAAAACACCTTTCTTGGATATTTATGGCGAAAATGCTGTAGATTTTGATTTTGCTTTTCCGGAAATTTTCGAAAAAAAACCTTTGTGGGAAGATTTGCAAGATTTGAAGATTTTTAATAAGGAGAAAGGTATGCGAAGCCAAATACAACCAAATTAAGGATTAAATTTTGATTTTTCATATACATATGTATTTTTAGAAAGGACTATGACTAAATTGAAAAATATGCAATCCAAAGCATCAGATAAAATTATTCCAATAAAATCTGAACAACCAAAAACCAACAAAAATGAAAAAAAGACTGAGGAACTACTGTGGCCTGTATTCATACTGAGAGGAGACTATTCAGTTTACTCGATTGACATTGACTTAAACAATCGGTAAGCCATACTATTGACCACAATGTGCTTGTATTTCGCATAATTTTATTATTTTTTTCCATAGATTTGATCCTAGTCTTAAAGGCCCTTACCCAATGTCCAAATTGGATCTAACCGACGACGCCGCATGCTCAATTATTTGCTTGAAAACCACTCCTCAAATAGTTTGCATTGCCAGCGCCACTGGAACTTTAATCAACAGTATTTTATTAAACTCTGATTTGGAAAAAAAGAGAAAATACCAACGTGATTACAACAGATTTGTGGAGGTCCCAGATAAAGAACTATTCGTTTTTGAAACGGTAGAGTTAGAGCTGGGCTTATCGATTCTCCATGAGGCTGAAGAGGATTCAAAGTATAAATGCCCAATATTTTTGCATAAAGATGAATCGAAATCGTCAAGGTATTTTGCTAGCCATGGTGCTGGAGTGCATACAGTTAATATTAATTGTGTTGAAGCTCTACATGAATATGTTACAGGGTCTGAAGGTAAGATTTAGAAGATTTAGGACAACATTTTTACAATGTATGGCCCAGCGTATAAAGAATTGCTCACCAATGATGCAATGAAGCAAAACTTACTCTACAGCAAAAATAATCCTACGAGTAGGATTATCTTTGTCTACAGACTTCATGGAAGTTCTTTTTTTTTAGACCAAAGTCCTTCATCGGACATATTCAATAATCCAAGTGCTGCCGAATATTTAGTTTGCACAAAAACTTCTGCAAGTCGAAAATCTAATCCAGTAATAGGGTTTGCTGTCTATTATGAACCAACGTCCATAATTTCACTTTTAAGCGATGGAAGTGTGGTTACTATGGCTCTTTTGTCAGCCCCAATTGTTCCCAAAAGCGAGATGAGCTTCTTGGAAAAAGACGGTGAAGGAGAAGTTAAGTCTCCTTTAAAAAAGGTTCAAGTGCGTTGTTTTGTTATTTCAACTGATATTTATTGAATAAATTTTAGATGCTCAATGAACCTTTCGATCAATATATTCAGAAAATTTTAAAAAAAGGTTCGAGTCGTCCCTTGTTGAAACTGTCTTCAACTTCTAGTAATACTCCAGAGGAATGTTATGATGTAAGTTATGAATTTCCAAAATTGAATTTTCTATTGAAAATTTTCTAGCTCCTTCAACGTGCTGCTCAAATGTTCCGCGAAGAACACTTTAAAAACTTCACCAAGGCCAGAGAAGAATTGGAAAAACGAGGGCACACACTAACTCTACTGAAGCAAGCCCAAAAAAAAGAACTTAGCAATATGAACAATTCCAAAGAATTACTAAGAGATAAAGCTGAATATTTAGCAGAAAAATATGAGGACATTAAAGACAAACAAGACGCACTTTTAAAGAGATGTGAACAGTTAATTATGTTGGTTTCAAGAAAAAAACCCGAAACATCTGATGCGGAAAATAAATTTATGGAGGACATGGAAGAATATAGTCTTAAATGCACTTCCTATCAAAATGCAATTGATAAATTGAAAAATAAAAATAAATATCAACAAGTGAAAGTAGGAATTTTTCAGATAATAGAAATGTATAGGTACTAATCATCCATTTTTGTTTTAGATTGAAAATTGGAAATCTAATTCAGTTAAAAAAGTCCCGGTGTTAGGTGAGATGCAAGCGTCAATTATTAAAACCAGCCTTCAAGAATCGTAAGTAAACTATCACCAATTGCAATTTTTTTGATTAATTTCCTAATATTTTTTAGCACTCAGAAAATCAACAATTTAATGAAACAAGTAAACGAATATAAAACTAAGTTTAATTTAAAATAAATTCGTACTGTGTACGATTTATTTGTATTTTGTATTTTGAATAAATTTAATTTGAATTTTTCACTTGTGTGTTTTTTGCCAATACAATGTCAATGCAAGAGTCATTTTGATAACATAATGATCTTAAAGCCTTCTCAAATTTGTAACAAATATGAGAAATATGATTTAACTGGTAATTTACAGGGTGAATCTTCTATAACTTGAACCAAAACTAAAACACGCTACCAAACATGCATTTTTTCAACCTTTATTACAAAATTGTATAGCAATTTTATCACAAGATAACTTAAACTATAGAAAACCGATTTAAAAAAATCTTCACCAATTATAAACTAGAATCTTTCAAACTATAGTTTTAAAAACAGAATAAACTATTGTTTATATTTATAACACATAAACAAACTTGCTTAATATAGGGCAATATAATAAAAAAAAAAAACTATAAAAATCAAATCTTATGAAACGAATTAAAGCTCCTAGTGCTCAACTAGTGGTCCCCAGAAATACTTAGAAATCCTATCTTCGTCTTCGGTAACGAAAAAGTCTCTTCCATGTTTGACAAATTCTTTGCTGGTAATTTTCCCATTGCCATTAGAATCAATTGCACGAAAAGCTAATACAGCGTCTTCATCTTTCAGTCCCAAGACGTCGAAGAATAGTTTAAATTCCTCTACGGTTATTTCACCAGACTTATCTTTGTCCACAGCCTGAAAGAAGGAAATTGAATCGATTATACGGTGTTCTTATTTTTTTGAATAAAGATGCTTTACCTTAAATAAGTATGGTAAAAAGGAATGAGCACGTCTTACAAGTCTCTTGTCATTTATCACATGATGCATGTTATCAAGAAAATTTTCCACTGTGACGAAGTTGTAAGGGGAAATTTCACCAAATTGTTTTTCCCATAGATCCTAAAAAGGTTATATTTATTGATGAATATTTAAATCAAACGTTGGTTCATTTAAATTTCTAACTACTCGTTTTAGTAATGTATGATTTTTGTATTGTATACATTGGTGCAAAAAATACATAGGTACTTGATACAGTTTAATAGCAGATTAAATAAGGATTAAAAAATAAAATAGGATTAGTAATAACATTACTGTTGATTTAAATTGTGGATCTTACCTGGATAACTTGATAGAATTCCTTTGTATGCTTTTCGCTCAAATGGCCCAAATCTACAAATCTGTCAGCTAAAATTTTGAAATCGTCAAAAGATACGACTCCGTCTTTGTTTAGGTCTAGAATAGAGTGTAAAGTGCGAATTTTTCTTCTCCAGAAATCGCTGTTGCCCTACGAATGAAATAAATTTAATAATTTATTGTTTTTGTAATACAATAATAAGCACATGCATTTAAGGTGGAAATAAAATCGTTGGAGTGTTGTACTGGATAATCCTGAATTCAAATCTCAGTCCAAGTTAATTAATTCAAAATTGCATCCAGAGTAGTAATTCCAAATATGTATAGAATAATTTAAATTTTCCTACAATATTAGGGGCTCTACCTCTTAGTACTTCTAACAAACTCTATCCTAACACTTCATATGTCTCTATTTCACAAAATAGAAGGATGAGGCTCTAAACTTAGAGTTTCTGTTTCTATAAATCAATATCTTAATTTAGTGTAGGACGTATAGGTGACGCTTCATAGAACTCTATTGGCTCTACTTGATGGTTAGTATAAGAATTAGAGGTTTCTATGAGAATGGTTTTTCCCATTGGCTAAATAAAGGCTATTCATACAACACAATTATTACTAAAGAAAGTATCAAAATTGATCTACTGTCAACGGGTAAAAAGATTATAGAATGATCATTGAGGGACAATATGCCCATGTGGAATAGTGTAATGGGCAAAAATCAGAAATTATTGAGAGGCATTTCATTCTGTTTCTGTTCAGAAGTGTACATACATGGTGCTAGATAATTTAAGAAGCCTTTGCCTATGGTAAGGGACAAAAGGACATAAGGAGAAGTATGAAAAAGGCCTTTCATACTCAAGTTGACAGCAGTGTTTTGCTCTTGCTTAGGTACTATAAATTTGACTCTGAAACACTACAAAAACTTAGACCGTATGATGGTATACAGTTAAAGAAAAGACGTATGATTTATGCATCCACATTTCAAAACTCAAAAATGTGTGGAACGAGTTACTTATTTATAAATTGAGCTGCTGAGCGGAGAAAAAACTACTTAGTAGTAGAAGCCACAGTAAGAAGCTCATGTAGCGGTGACCAGAATTATTATTGATTTGTTAAAAAAACTGAGAACATCATGAGATGATTATTTTTTCATTTAAGTCAAGTTGGTTGATGGTAAAATCAGAAAAAAATGTCAGCTTGAGAATTGTGTGTTTTTGAAAAAGAACTAATAAATAAAAATGGCAATAATCGCCAGGTTTTGATATTTAACAGCAAACAACTAGAAAGCAGAAGGATAAGTTGAAATAACATCGAGTTAGACAATGTGGAAATCAACTTTGTTCCTTTTCCAGAGTTCATTACAAGGGACTTGTCTGCAGGGGCTGTAGAGGCACCAACTTCAGGGGGTAAGCAAGAGGTAGTAATTGTCTCGGCTTACTTCCCTGGAGACGACGAGACAAATCCACCCCCAGAGGACATTAAACGACTCGTCAGCTACTGCGAAAGGATGAACAAACACCTTATAATCGGTTGTGATGCCAACTCCCACCATACCATAAGGTGAGTACCTTATTGAATATTTGTTCTCTAATGATTTAGACATTATCAACAATGGTAACAAACCCACCTTTGCAAACAGTGTGCGGCAAGAAGTGTTAGACTTAACCTTGGCAAGCACACACATAAGCAACCAAATTAAAAACCGGCATGTCTCCAACGAAATCTGGATGTCGGATCATAAACATAATAAGATTCGATATAGAGGTCACAGAGACACGCCTTCTCGAGCATAGAAACCCAAAACTAACTGACTGGGCCGACTGGGGTCTATACAAAGACGTACTAAAAGCAGAAGTAACCGACTACCCCCACGCAATAGAAACAGAGGGTGAGTTAGAGTATATCACGAACGAAATAAACACTCTAATAATAACAGCCTTTGAGAACAGCTGTCCTGTAAAACAAAGGGTCGTAGATAGAAAAACGCTCTGGTGGAACAGGACGCTCAGTTTCCTAAGAGCTGAAACAAGAAGGTTATTCAATAGGGCAAAACGCACCAACAACTGGGTGGGGCGAATATAGAACTGCCCTAACTGAATACAACAAGGAATTGAGAAAGTCTAAAAGGAATTCCTGGAGGAATTTCTGTGAGATTACTTACATCCCTCAGACAATGCGATTACAGAAAGTCCTTGCAAAAGACCACTCAAACGGCATTGGACTACTACTACAAAAACCTGATGGCAGTTACACAGAGAGTAGATTAGAGAGTGTGAAACTGCTACTACAATCGCACTTCCCAGATTCTGTAGAGTGTGAGCTAAACGGCAACAGAGCTTCGGTGGCTAAGGGCGTCTTACGCCGAAGCATCCGAACAAAAAGTCTGGCCAGAAAAATATTTACCTCAAACAAAATAAGATGGGCTATAAACAATTTTCAGCCCTACAAATCACCAGGAGAAGACAGAATTTTTCCAGCTCTCCTACAACAAGGCTCAGAAGAACTTATTTAACTCCACTAGCAATAATATTCAAAGCTAGCTACCTACTAGGTTACATTCCCTCTAGCTGGCGGGATATGTAAATGTGGTCTTTATTCCAAAGGCTGGGAAACGTCCCACAGCACAGCCTAAATCGTTCAGACCCATCAGCCTAACCTCGTTTCTCCTCAAAACCATGGAGAAAATCATTGATTTACACATAAGAAGCGAATTCGTAACCGATAACCGAGACAGCTCTACACAGCCTTGTCAATAGGATTGAAAAGGCACACTCCAACCAAAAAACCGCTCTCTGTGCATTCATTGATATAGAGGGTGCATTTAATAACACCTCAGAAAGGCGGCAAAAAACAAAGGCTTTGAGGACACTACCATCACATGGATTGAAACCATGCTACAGGATAGGAAAATCAAAGCAACCCTTGGAAGCGACTCAGCGACGGTCCTAGCAGTCAAGGGGTGCCCCCAAGGGGGTGTATTATCCCCACTGCTATGGTCCATAGTAATAGATGAACTTCTAAACATACTAAGTGACCATAGATTTGTGGTCCTAGGATATGCTGATGACCTTGCAGTCATCATTAGAGGCAAGCATGGTAGGATCATTAGTGAACTCATGCAGAATGCCCTCAACATCATCAAAAGCTGGTGCTTGCAAGGGGGTTTAAGGGTGAAACCTAGCAAGACAATAATTGTACCATTCACAAGGAAAAGGAAGTTCAACTTAATAGCTCCAACACTGGATGGAATACAAATAGGCTTTTCAAGTGAAGTCAAATACCTGGGCGTTGTCCTAGATCAAAAGCTCATCTGGAACTCACATTTAAAAAGAATAATCGATCGAGCAACAGTAGCGTACTGGACATGCCGAAGACTATTCAGTAAAACATGGGGCCTAAAGCCAAAAATGATCTATTGGTTATATACGATGATTATAAGACCCCTGGTCACATGCTGCATTGGTGTGGTGGCCAAAAGTGAAGCAGCAGACAGGGCAAAACCGATTGGCAGTTGTACAAAGGTATGCATGTCTTGGAATAACAGGTGCCATGAACACCTGTCCAACCGCTGCTATAGAGGTCATGTTGGATATCATCCCTCTGCACATTGCAGTGAGGAGGGAGGCCTACATGGGGGCCTCAAGGGTTGTACGGTCTCTAAACCTAAAGGAAGGGGACCTTGTTGGACATATGAGCGTCATTAAAGAATGCCATGGTACACCAACAAAACCGGTGGACATCATGCCACTCAGATACGAGTTTAATCACCTTTTTATTGTGACCGCAGAAGGCCGCAAAAGTGACAAGTGACATCTGGTACACAGATGGATCGAAAACAGAAGAAGAAGTCGGAGTGGGCGTATATGGCCCAAACTGCAGGCTATCGGTAGCCTTAGGAAAAAACCCCACCATATTCCAAGCGGAAACGTACGCAGTAGAACTCTGCGCCTGAAAGTGTCTTGAAATAGACCTACGAGGTGCAAGAATCTCCATCAATTCTGACAGTCAGGCAGCACTTAAGGCTCTTAACAGCTTTGTCACTAAATCCAGATTTGTCTGGGACTGTCAGCAACTTCTAAAGCAACTGGCGAACTGCAATAGAGTCACTCTAGCATGGGTACCAGGGCACCAAAACATAGAAGGTAATGAAATAGCGGACCGGCTTGCAAGAGAAGGCGCCGCGTCACCATTCCTCGGTCCAGAACCCTTCTTTTGCCTGACAAAAAGCCATGTAAGGATCGAACTCAAAAAATGGGTAGAGGCACAACAGGCCTCCCATTGGAACAATACTCCAGGACTTAGACAGGCGAAGCAATTCATCTCGCGAAAGTCAACAAAGGCGAAGGAACTACTCGAACTCAGCAAACCAAACTTGAGGCTCATTATGGGTCTTCTCACCGGCCACTGCCCTCTTGGCTACCACCTGAAAAAGATGGGTAAAGCTGAATCAGACCTTTGCCGCTTCTGCAAAGAAGCATCCGAATCTGCCGAACATATACTCTGCAAATGCGAAGCATTATGTCACGCGAAAAGTCTCAACCTGGGTACCTACTAGAAAAAGGGGAAGCACAATAGATCTATTCTAATCTAATCTAGACAATGTTTCAATTTGCAATCAGAATAAGGATCCCCGAAACCAGAAAAGGTCTTAATAGTCAAACTTCAAACTTTAGTTAAAAATCAAGCGTTATTAACCGTAACATCCACTGTAATAACTATCACAAATGATGCAGAAAATTGGTATGTAGACAATGATTTTACCAATCACATTATTTTTAATACTTACAAAGAACGAATTTGTAATGGGAGAGATGTCTATAAAAGTTTTCAACCATTTACTGAAGACACACAGTAATAACTGCACATAGTGATGCTGTAGGAGCTTTGGGAAAAGGTAGAATTGCGGTTAAAGGTTGTGTCAATATGCGGAAAATAGACAGAATAATTTAGAAGACGTTTGTATGTTCATGCCCTTAAAAAAAATCAGTTTTCTCCGCTGAAAGAGACAACTAAAAAGCCGGTTCGTTTCCATACAACAGAATAGCGTGTCGTTTCAAGACAATTTTAGTTGGAAGTAAACGTGGAGGTCTTTACAAAATTAGCCCTAAAAATGGTTAAACCTCAAGCTACACAGATCAATGCATCGTAAAATGTTGAAACACTTCAGTTATATCATGAAAGACTGGGTCATCCGATTAAGAGACATTTCAAACAAATTCTTAAGAGAGATTTTGGATGAACGTACACCTCTGATGATAGCGAGTTATGTGAAGGTTCTTTATTTGGCAAAGCAAATGTTTCAGAGAAAGAGCTGCATAACGAAACCAGGAGAGAAAATTCACTCTGTTGTTTGTGGACCTTTTAAATCTTCAGAGGAAGAAGCTATATGTTTAGCTTAGCTATAAATTGCTAGACACCTTGGAACATTTTGGGAAGAGGTTAAAGTTGCTAATGATGTTGTTGAAGATTAACGGAAGCATGCGTTATCCGTCCAAACTCGCACATCAGAATAATAAGACATTTTTTCGATAATAGTTATCCAGAAAGTAGACGGCACTAAGCAGATTGCAAACTTGATGGCGAAATCCTTGTTCAAAGCAAGATTATTGGATTTAAGAAGTTTGATGGGTCTTAGATGGATCACTGAGTACCTACATCAATGAGGGAAAGTTTTGAAGTGGGACATTCATGTATAGGTACATTGAAGTATTGTTTGACAACTCTTACTTCTTACTTTTATGTTATTGAAGTTGGCTCATAGTTGGAAGTAAACATGGAGAGAGATCTGTACAAATTAGCCCTATCAATGGTCAAACTTCAAGTTACAAAAACCAATGCAGTGCAAAATATTAACATACTTCAGTTTTATCATGAAAGACTGGGTCATCCGAATAAGAGACATATTAAACAAATTCTAGAGAGACATATTGAATGATAGCGAGTATGTGAATAGGGTTCTAGCCCATGTTCTAAAATTTGGTTCCACAGAAAGAGCTACAAAACCAGGAGAGAGAATTCTTCTGTTTAATCTTTTCGAACCTTCAGAGGAAGAAGCCATAGGTATTTTCGTCTATAAGTTGCTAGAAACCGTAGAACATTTTTGGGAGAGGTTATAAAGTTGCGGGTCAAGTCAAATACATTCTTGTTATTTATGACAATAATGATGGTCACCGAATTTGGTGTTTAATTACGTACAAAATTCCATTCAATTGGTCTTGAAAGGAAGTAAACGGCACTAAGCAGATTGCAGACTTGATGACGAAATCCTGGTTCAAAGCAAGATTATTGGATTTAAAAAGTTTGATGGGTCTTAAATGAATCATCAATACATAAATGAGGGCAGGTGTTGAAGTGGGATATGGGACATACATGTATGCATGGAACTATTGTATGATTGAATTATTGATTGAGAATGTTGAAGTGACATATTAAAAATGTTAGTATAAGTTAATTTCTAGTCTCATCATATAAACACTTAGATTTAAATAGTGGCAGAAAGTACTTGAATTGCTGAATGAATAATTTTCACTTACTCTTTTACCAAGCCATTCTTCCAGATCACTATCAGATTCCGACGAGGATTGGTACTTCCTTTCATGATGGTGCTTGGCGTCGCGTTTGCTACTAAATCCACGATTTGCTACCTCAAAATTGGCCAGTTTTGGTGTTAGCGAGCAATAACATCCTGTACAAGTTAGAGTCTAGAAAAAGATACAAATATATTCAATAAGTTACAGAATGTTTCATATAAATTTCTTTAGTGTTAAGGAAAATAGAGTTTAAAAGGCTTGGACACAAATGTTAGTGGATTGGTTGATTATAAAAAACTTTGAATCAGTACTGAATACAGAAATTGAAATAGGTGAGCAAATGGTTTGGGAGAGATTTAACAACAAAGAAATCGGGTTGGATTAGAACAATATAGTGAGGGTCTTAATTCGTTTTTTCCAATTTTTCCTAGGCTAGGCGGTAGAAGATCTCGGATAATTACTACAACATCAAAAAATATATAAAAAGTAACCTTAGAATTTTACTTGAAGAGTGTGTTTAACTGAAAGAGTTTGTTTCCATTTTTAAACAAATTTTGAAATTGTTTGGAAAAATATAACATTAATGGTATTTACTTGATAAATATTATGTAATATTTATCAAAATTTAACTTAAACAACGCAATTATAAAATATGTACAAAGTTATTGTATGTATCGGTTCTTTAACCCATTAATTAATTGATGTGTGTTACAATCTGCAAAAGCAAAAACAATATCCTTTATCTAAGAATGGAAGGGGATTCGTTTTTGTTCAACAATTTTTGACCTTCTAAATTTTAATGTATTTTGCGACCTGATTTTGAAATTTGGCACATATAGGTTCCTACTGAATAAAATTAAATTATTTATTCATAACAGCATGAGAATGAGACATGCATAAAATGTATCCATCTTTTATTCCATGCTTGGACTTTAGACACGAGCTCCTCTTATATTAACAAAATATCAACTATATATTATCAAAATTAATATTCTATGAAGAAATAGATGAATAATTGCGCATTCTTAATCATTTTGTCCTAGCATAGACACTTATTCCAAAACCAGTAATGTCACTTTTGTTATCACCGGCTGATTATTTCAAACGAGTTGAATAGGCCAACACATTAGGCACTAACATGTGACTACGTGTCCCAAACAGCATAAGTACTTTTAAAGTGGGTACCAGCACCTATATAGCTACATGCTAGATATAAATAAAATAAATATGTCTGTGAAATGCTTATGATAAATTTATTTGGTTCTTTGATTTTATGTGTAAACACACTAATTTTAATTGCGAATTTATCAAGAACATGGTCTGATGTCATGCTCCACTGACTCCCAATAAGTTTAATTTGTTCATAATCATAATTTTTATGAAAACAAAGGCAAATATTTTCTCCATGTGACCAGCATATACTATTGATAAAAATTAATAATATGTATGCACATCATTCCTAAAGAAAACATTTACCACTTATTATTTATAATAAAAACATTAATGACAGACAGCAATCAAAACGCGTCTTTATTATTAATATTTATTATTAACATTTAGGTACATGCTAACCAGAGTTTGTTGACTTCCTATTTATTGCTTCAGCAAGAACAAATGATAGAAATGGCTGATAATTTTTATATAGGACAGTTTTATCTTTAATGTCGGAATAACAAAGCTTATAACTGGGTTTTCGATAGCGAAAACTAAGTACAAAAAAAACTGAGTTACATTTGGTGCATTATCAAATGATTGGAAATAATCGAATGAATTTGAACAAAAAAAAAAAAAACATGAATGGGTCCTAATATTTTTGAGTAGGTACCTACCTATATTTTTGAAGTTTGGAGCAATGCAGCAAACATTTATTTTGTTTCATAGATATATGTATATCAAAAAGTACTAAAATAGTGGTACCTACATACTGAAGAATCTTGCTGAATGGTGAAATACATATGTTTTAATAAATCGATTTTCCTTTTTGCCAGCAACTCTACTGTATTACTTTATCATGCCATCTCGCATCTCGTGCACAGATGCGAAAAGCAAATATTGATAGATAATATAAACCATTGCTCTTAGTGCAATGACCATACATCAGGTTGAATAAGTAAACCTGACTGTATTAACTATTGTTTGTAATTCTATTGGGAACTTATGGGGATATGAACCTGAAAATAGTCTTGTGTGTAGGTACCTATGTATTTTAACAATATTTTCCCATCAAATTGCACCTAGTGTTGAAACATAAAACATCCATATTTGTATCAGAATAATACTTAAAGCCAACCTACTTTAAGGTCTTATGTCTATGTTCATGTCTCTAGTCTAGAATTGGATGTTTCTATTACACAAAAATCAAAAATCCCAAAATTAGTTGTGCTGGTATCGACATCTTTTTTTCATAATGGAAAGACTTAATTTTTTGTTCATCTTTGTGAATTTTTCATATTATTTGTCTTGTATATTATGCAAGCCTATCTATACCTGCATCTTAAAAGTTCAGTTTAAAACATATAACTTGTTTACATTGAAGATTGAAAAACCTGTTTCATTAATGAAATACACATTTGATTAGCCCTGAAACTGTCAGAAATGCGCAACAAGAATGTTTCTATCGATAAGACTACATTTTGTTAGTTAACCCAAGGAAAGCATTTTGAATATACATCGTGATTTACGTAGCCCGTGCATTAGAGGTTGGTCCAGTTTGCAGGTGCATTAGAATTAGAAATAGCATCTAATCCACCTGCAAGCTAATGCACGGGCGACGTAAATCACCCTGTATGTATTTAATTGTGATTTAATAAAATGATTGGGGACATAAGGTACCTACCTACTCATTTTTCACAACTTATCGGAAAAGTTAAAAATCGAGTAAAACTAGAAAAACCTCTTTTAAAATAGCCGGAAAGAAAATAAAAATACATCTCTTTATAGAGATGTCTCTTTATAGAGATGAACATTTGTTTGCTTGCCTTGTACTCCTATGGAAGGGGTCTTTATTGGATGAGCCTCCTTTGAACGCCCTTGACCGCACAGAAGAAATAATTATACATTCTATCTGGGATTAACTCTTTGTAAATAAAACCAAGGCGTTAGTTCTTTGGGAGCTACCATAAAGAAGTGAGGATTTATTATTCAGCGAAGATTTCTATTATTTTGGAAAAAAGATGGCAAAATCTTTTTGAGTTTTTCACCAATGCAAAAATAAATCAAAAGTATTGTTTTTGTGGGTTTTATAAAATTGCTATTTCTTATTTAGCAACTTTTAATTTTTTTCATGATTAGTTTTAAACTTTTTCACTTTCCCCTATGGCGGGTTCAAGGCGGCTCAATTTGAAATTGTAATAAGGATCATTGTGCTTATGAATACTGAACAACTGTAGCATAACGTTCTAAGTAGGCATGTGGATATTTATAAATGTTTCCTAATAGGTATAAAGTTTTTAATGCCTTTAGGTTTATTTTGCCATTGAAATTGAAAATCATGCTTTCCTTTCATAATTTTCAAATCATTGATTCAAATAAATATTCACACATGAAAACCAATATTTGTAAGAATTTGGAATACAAAATATACATATCTACATACAAAGGACTATGCAAAACGTATGTGTAAGTACTTACAGTTACGCCGCTTTTCACCGACTCAACTTTAATATTTTCTGCAGCCTTTTTTAAAACTACAAACTTTTGCAAGCTCTTCCCCAAATTTAGTCCTTTCCTCAAAATCGAAAATGCCATTTTCGAATCACAATAATGTCGCTCAATACAATAAAACTACCTCTTTATATTGGTTCAAAAAATAAAAATTCACACAACAGTACAGAAAGTACATAGAAATAATTCAAAAACGTCGCTGTTTTCACATATGGCGCTGCTACCACAGACTAAATCCCTACTGAAGGCGATTATGGTGGTTCTTTTGCAACGCCTATAGTAACAACGGCACTGGAACACAAGAATGGTACCACCGCGATAATCGTAATCGACAGACAGACGGAGTGGTACGACGTATATATGTTTTAATAGCCCGTTTGTTTATTGATCTGAAGGTTTTGTTTTGGGATTGTTTACTTGTTTCGGCTCACGTTGGCTTGTTTAATCGATCACGTAAGACTCTGTGATAAAATTAACGACCAAATTAATTTGTTCAAATAATGCAAATTAAGTTATTGTTATTTAATAGGTATTCTCATTTACAAATCTGGAATAAAAAAATTTAAGGCATGTACAATTTTTCCACAAATTTGTTTGAAGTACCTATCTAACCCAAGTACCCATATAATTTCTTCTTTTAGAAGTTACTGCTATCTTCATAGGCGCCGACTCCATGGGTGCTGTGGGTGCGCAAGCACCCATACTGAAAATATTATGGATGCGGAGTACCCATACGAAAAATTTTAAATCTATAATTTTCCTAGTTCAGGTAATGAAAAAATCATCAAAAACCAAAAAAACATGTGCAGCGCCGTACACGTGGTAGAAGTGAAACTTCTAAAAAACTATCTCCCCGTCATACAACTTTTAGACTTAGCCTAATGAGTCGGGGTATAAAGACGAAGGAAAACGCGAATCTGTAATGACGTCACGAGAATATAGCCGTTTAACAATAATAGTTTATAATCCTTGTCTTGTGTCAATCGTTCGTCGGCTGTCATTGTCATTGCCTGTCTTTCTCCGTCCCTCTACGTAATATTTTTCTTCTCTCTCGTAACGAAATTTGCCAAAACGTGACGCGTCTTTCAAATCATTCTCCATTCTCGTCTAAATATCAGACCGCCGCCTACGAAGTTTCACTCCAAAAAGCACAGGACACAAATGTTTAAATAACGAAAATAATCACAAAACACAATGATAATAGTATAAAAAAGGAGATGCGCATCTGTAGTGACGTCATAAGGGTATCGGCGATTGTTAATCATAGGCAATTCTCTTTGCGCTTATAATTTGGTTCGTGTCAATCAGTAGCTGTTTTTCTCCGTCCCTTTACGTTTACGTTATATCTTTCTTCTCTCTCAAGTAACGAAATTTGCCCATGACGCGTATTTCAAATCACTCTCCATTGTCGTCGAAATATCAGACCGCCGCCTGGAAGTTTCACTTCAGAAAACCGCTGACGCAAGCATAATAGAGCTTTTAGGAAACGCTGTTCCGATTGACCCGATCACCAATGAACGCTAATGAAAAAAGGCAATCTTAATTAGTTGGTGATCGGGTTAATCGGAACAATCGGAACACCATTTCCGAAAATGCCTATTATAATCCGAAAAATACCGACAGATGAGCAAACCTCTGTGTAGTGTCTGATCGTCTGATCCAAGAGGTCCAATCAGCGAGTCGAGTGGCTGTTGAATGGCGATCATGGGTGCGCTGTTCTGTTTTGCACTTTGCATTTCTGGGAATCCCAGTCTCAGTCAAAAACAACATATTCTGTAGACATTTTTTAAAGGTTGATAGGTATTAATTGAATAATTTGATAAAGGAAATTTTTCTGTAGATTTTTGGGTAGTTTAAGAGGGGTTCGAAAGCTTCCTACGAGCGTGCGTGAAACCCCACTTTTTCGAGTCCGCAAGCATTTAGATCATGAAATTACCACTTTTCCGCATTATTTTTCCGTACTAGTGCGGAAAAGTAGAATACCTAATATTGGTAGGTATACATACAGGTACTTACCGGTTATAGGTATACTACAGATAAATGCGGAAAATGAAAAAAAAAAGAAGAATATCCTTAATAAGGGATTGGGAGTGGCACCAAAAATAAGCCTTTAGCTATTTTATGCCGCCTTTGGCTAAGCACCCATACAGATTTTAGAAAGCCGGCGCCTATGGCTATATCTTATTGTGTTGTATGTTTACATAACAAAAAAAACCAAGATCAAAGATCAGTATAGGCTGCCTGCTGTGCTGTGTTGAATTATTATTATAAATCCTAAATTAAAGCGAAAATTTTTTTGGGGCCTTGAACTTCGTAAAATAATTAGATGTAATGGCGAGGCCTCTCTAGGAAATTGGGAAGCTCCTGTGTATCAAGAAAACCCTCAATTCATTGAAATGGGCAAGACATAGTCCGATCAGTTAGCAGAGCTGGGAGTAACGACAAAAAATAGTTACTTTACTTTAACGAGTTACTGAAAGTAACGCGTTACTTGGTAGCTTCGTTACTTTTCAGATTGATTGATAATTAACTGTAACGACGTTACTTTCCTGAAGTAACTGCAGATCGTTATTTTGTTAAAGTAACGAGTTACTATGAAAGTTGCGCGTTACTATGAAAATAACACGTTTATATGAAAGTAACGCGTTACTAGTTACTATGCAAGTAACGCGTTCTCTCAATTTGTTTATCTTCTTTACAAATAATTGACGATTGAGGAAAAGGAAAATAAGTAATCCGAAAACTTTGTATGTCAAATAAAATGTGGGTAGTCCAGAAAATTTGTTTTGAAAGCTCAAAATAATCGTTTTTGGGCGTGGCACGCGCCGCCTCTGCTCTGAAGACACTATATGCAGACACTGGGACGCTTCAAAACGCAGGTTTGTCCAAAACCAAGTTTTCTATTTAGTCGCTTAATCCTTAATCCGTTTGAATTTTGCAACAAAACTCTTCCACATAGTCGGACTCATAAACTGAAAACATATTGGCATTTCGTATAGGTCTTATTTGATTGTTTCGATTGCTGTGTTGGTGAGTCAAATTAAGGAATAACGCAATTTTCGACGTAAATAGTTATTTTTGAAGTAACGCGTTACTTTAAAAGTAACGCTTTATTTAAAAGTAGCGCTTTATTTCAAACTAACGCGTTGAGGTAACGGGTTACTTTCAAATAACGAGTTACTTTTAAGTAACGAACTACTTCCAAAGTAAAGAAGTTACTTTTAAAGTAAAGAAGTTACAGTAAAGCGTTTCTTTCCAATAAGTAACGAAAATAAAGTTATCATTATTCGAAAGTAACTGTAAATTTTAAGTAACGAGTTATTTTTAAGCAAAAGTAACTGTAAAGTAACGCGTTACTTTTTTCGAGTAACGATCCCAGCTCTGTCAGTTAGATGTCTAGGATGTTTGTTGAAGATAACCAGCAAAATTGGACCAGTTGTGAAACATTGGTTTTTTCCAGTAATTTTATTTTAGTTCGAGAAATAATATTGGTATATGTAGTGTTAAAAAATGGAATGTGCCAGCAGTGCCAATTCTTCCGATTGGCGATTGAGAAGAACTAGAAGAGGCGGCAGTACCTATGTTTACAAATATAAGAAAATGAAGCAAGTCATAAGGATTAATGGTAGACAGAGCTGGGCAGTAGCTAGCTACCAAGTAGTTAAGCTACTAGCTTAGCTACTTTTTTGGTAAGTAGCTAATAACTTATTCAAGCTACTTTGAAAAAAAAGTAGCTTGTAACTGTAGCTTTTGGTAATGTGTTTCAAGTATTCATAAGCTACTGTGAAAAGTAGCTAGCTACTAAAACAAGCTACTTAAGCTACTTTTGGTAGATAGTTAATAGTTATTTAGGTATTAATGGCAGAAAGTGTCATTTACCGCCCGAGGTTGTGGTTAACGATACTCAACGCCCAAAATACTTCTTACGTTTTATGCGCAGCGGACTCTTCTAGTTCAAAAATGAAATAACTATACCTATAATATAATGGCATCCATTCGACATTGTTTTCAAAAATAAACAGTTTTCCCCTTATAAAGGCACGTTTCCACCAACCTATCGCCCGCGTTTGAATTTACCGCTCGATAAAAGTAACTTTATACTTTATTTGCTCAAGCTACAATTATCATTTTCCGGAAAATTCTTATCCTGCCTTGCTTAGACTAGTTTCTAGTTATCTCTGTATGTACCTATGTTTTATGTGTCCTATTTTATTCTCGCATTCGCAGATCACTGTGATCAAAGTGAACCTAATAAATTATTGTCCAGTGGTTTTTGACAAAAATATGAATACTAGGTACTTCTTAGAGAAAGTTAATATGTTATGTTCGTATGATGATATTATGAAATTAAATTAGGTAAGGAATGTTCATTGATAAAAGTAGCTTAAGTAGTAGCTTTCACTAATTCAAAATGTAGTTAAGTTACTAATAGCTTAGCTACTTTTTCGAAGAGGTAGTTGAGCTACTGAGTAACTTAGCTACTTACAATATAAAGTAGCTTGTAGCTTATAGCTAGCTACTTTTTCCAAGTAGCTTGCCCAGCTCTGATGGTAGATGAGTTCAATGGAAAGAGATCGAGAATCATTAGACTAATTTCATCGTGTTGTTCAAGAATTACAATCTCCATTTTTGTTTTTCAAACCACAAACACTATAACCAAACAAACATACACAATTTTGCTTGCATACCCAGCACGCATGTGAGGAAAGTGTGGATTTCCACAAATCAACGACAAGCGGATACATGCGTGTTATGCGACGCCATCACCGTACTGTGTTGGCTATATACCGTACGGCGTAGCGTGTGTGTTCGAGATCCTAAAAACACACGTACAATTCAAGACCTCACTTTTAGTACTGCACGCGCTAACTCGTAACGTGACGTAGGTACTGTGTCGAAGGTGTGTTCTCGGCTTTAGATTAACATAGTCATTTTCATAAGGTGGTCTGTCAAAGTTTAGACCACCTAATGAAATTTATATTACCATGTTGACCTTAAAATTGCCATCTTGTTTTTGACGTAGAATCCAGCGACAGGTCTTCTTTGGTTGTTCAGTCACGCCCCATGTCTTTATTTTTCATTTTTATCAATGAGATATCTTCAGTCATAGTGTTACTGTTATTCCAATTTACATCCTTTCTTTGGTTGTTGGTTGTCAAAAAAATCCAAAATATAATCATTCAGTTTTGTATGTGGTAATCGTATAATCTGATCTGTATTTGATTTTCAATAGACTTTTTGCTTTATACGATATTATCTTATGTCAAATCAATCTTATTTTCAGAGATCGCCAGAAGCTGAGGATATCTTCATGGAGAATAATTATTGTAACTGTTATGTGAAATATATATTAAAGATTTTATACTTATAGTTCCCTTTTTTCAGTGCTAGTCAAAATCAGGCAAGGACAGAGTATAGTATAAGACCAAAGGCATCAGCAAAATATGTCGAACAATCTCCTAGCTTGATTGACTGAAAATTAGACACGTAACAGACTCATTCAAATCGCAAATATTCTTTAAGGAATTAAATTCTCAGAACTCTCCCTCGATTCACTATCTGAAACCTCAAGAGTCCAAATCCCTTTCATGCTCAGAATGTTCTTCTATATTTACTGTATCTCAATCTCAATTTCATTCAGATTTCTGTCAATTTTGATACAAACAATCAGTGGACTTTTTCAAACTTTTCATGCCGAAACATCATTTTATACAAATTTACTTCTCTTTTACCAAATGCTACAATATCATCCTCCATCATCTCAGATTTTCAAAAATAGATTTTTCCGCATTTGCGTTCAAAAGTCATCTTTAGAACATACAAGACACTCTTCAATATAATGATCTAATACCAATCCGTTTCATGTGGCAGCGTAATCTTGATACCACAAATCATTACAATTTTGTTCAGAGTTTACGTGTTTCACATGTGCAATTGTGCAAACGACACACTAAGTAATGTGCGACGATTTAAATTTTAATTTTCCTTGAGACGAATTTGTTTTGGTACGCTCCTTACTCCCTAGCAAAACTACCTTCCTGACTACAATATTATTAAAGGCATTACACCCTCTGAGGCATAAATTTTATGAATTTAGGAAACACTGATAACCGCATCTGCTTGATATCTTCAACCGTTTCGCCGCTAGATCATGTTTCTGGAAGCAATAAGGTAAAACCTACAAAACTTTCTTATTTATGAAAATAATTGATTTCTATATAAATTTAAATTTTCCAGAAGTACCTACGTTTTCAAGCAGAATTCAATGACGTACCCAATTTTTTTCTACTTTGTCCCGATTTTGAGACGACAAAAGTCTTATTTTTCAGGAGGTTTTTTATACAGGGTGATTTACGTAGCCCGCGTACATTTAGTACCTACCTATAACTTTTCATTTTTCAATATTCAATTATTTCAATTGATTAGTTTCATGTAGGTATCTCTGAATTTTACTGAATAATTAAACAAGGCTCACTATGCCATGTAACTGGCAAGTAACTGACAAGACTTTGAACACTTACAAAATACCTACCTGACTTTCTGACTCATTCGCTGACTTTTGGACTTGCTTACTGACCAACTGACCTCCTGACTTGCTTACTGACTTCTTGACTCGCTTACTGACTGACTTTCTGATATTCTACAATAGACCTATGGCCATTTCGGAAACGCTGATCCGAACACGAACACGATTGAAAAAAGACAAATTACATCAGCTGGTGATCCGGTTAATTGGATCAGCGTACCCGAAAACGCCTAATGTCTTACATAGCTGCCCTATGCCCTTAACCTGATGGTAAATAATTCAATTTATGTACCTATGTATGTATTCAATAATCAATACATGGTCTTATGAAGGAGAAGTAAAGAAGCTTTTTGCACGAAACAGGAAACCTATAATTTTTGAGAAGCGATTGATAGATTTTGTTATTAGGTTGTGTCCCGAAATCCTTAAAGCTGGGTTATCATCGACGGAAGATTTCTTATTTCAGAATACTGTTGCTTGAGTTTTGGAAGCATTGAATTTGACTTGTTGAGGCCCGAGTTTCGGGCGAGGTGTGTCAGGTGTGTGGACCATATATGACAATACGATGGAAGTTTGCTGAGGAGACCTTATTTGTGCCATACCTCAAAAGTCTTGGAGATTTCCTGTTGCAATTCTGGATTCACCATAATATGTTTTTCGAGAGTCGAGTTCCAAATATGACTGACGTACGCGAGCAGATCCACTGTTGACCTTTCAGAACGACACCTGTACTCTTCGTCAGAGATGAGCTTATTGGCTTCGAGAAATTTAACCAGTTTCAAGTTGACTGCCTTTTCCATTACTTTCGTAAGTACGAATATAAGTGAGATGGGATGATAATTGCTAGGAAGAGTTTTCTTGCCCTTTTTCCCAGGGTCAAGTTACAGAAGAATTTCCCTAATATTATTATGTCTAAATACAACGTTGTTCAGGGTTGGATGACTCCACCGGGATACCGGGAAATTCCCGGTGGGCCGAAACAGGATCTTTATCAAGATACGGATATGGATATATGAAGATGATGTAAATGACTGAAAAGTGTTCATCATATTCACGTTGCAAAAAATGTTTTGTATCAATAAAGATTATATATCCGTGCTTGCAGTCATCTTTGAGGCGTGTACCAGTAAGTATTCCTTATTTTAGCGTATTCACAGGTAGGGTGCGAAAAATGCTTTTCAACACTTGAAGACATAAAAACTCTATTAGGAAATCGACTTACAATTTACAATGGAAAATTTAGATTTTATTCTGCGTTTTCATTCAGCATTTATTGTTTCATCACTGTTGTTAATTTAATATTGGATCACATCTAAGTGTGGGGATTTGTAGTGCCTCATAAATCTATCAATGTGTGGGCCGCTAGACTGAAATTACCCGGCCCACTTCCAAAAGTTCGTCCAACACTGACGTTGTTGTCCATGTAAGTACCAATGTGTGGCAGTACCTGTGGCGTTCTGCCATTGTCCTTCATCGAGGAATTGGATGCAAGTTGTTTGGCAAAGAGGATCTGCTTGTTCCTTTGACGATAGTGCAATGGAATTGTTGTCTTTAACTAAAGGTGGAAAGGAAGAAGATGTGAAATTTTTTCCTAAGATCTTGGCAAACGACCAAAAAGACCTTGATCCACTCATGCAGTTCAAAAGTCGATTAAGTACGCACTTTTGGGTTGTGTAATGTCTTAGCCTCATCGTTGGGCTCTATTATTCCTGACAGCTGTAAAGGACGGTCGAGTTTGTTCGCATTGATTTCTACGCCATCAGGCACGATAAGCAGTGTTCTTTTTTTCAACCGCTCTGGCACACTGCTTGTCAAACCAGGGTTTTCCAGCACAGAATGTTTTAACGAAGTGTGGAATGCTCTATGGTGGAATGTAGGTAGAATTCCAAACCTAAGGAAATTATTTCGGTAACCTCTCTTGTGCAGCCTTGGAGGAAACTTCGGATTTGAAGCAATCATTGGACTACAGAAAGGTCGAGTTCCATAATGCCTTTATTACGTTATATTATTGGAGCAGAAGCTGAGGGTATAACAAACGAACTTCAAGTGGAAATCAACTTGCGGTCTGATTTTCCCAAAGGTGAAAACACATCGATCTCGTAAGGATCTGAATTAGTGGTAATGAGGTAAATTAGCCTATTGAGAAATGAAACCGAGTGTGGGCTTCTACCAAATGAGTTAGGTCGTGGGAAATGACAAATAATGCTTCGGAAATCCTTCCAGCATGGGATGTTTTATTGGAGAACTTAAAGAGGGTGTGACCCAAAAATGAAAGTGAGATGGTTTGGGTAGACAGAAGATTTTACTTTACGCCTCCGTTAAGACCAACAATATGTGGATTTTTGTGCTTAAGATGTTGGTGTACTGAGTTGAGTAAGTTGGCGTCAATGAACTAGAGCTAAAAACTGGAATGCGCACACATTGCCATATCTGCCAAAAAAATGAAGCCATGAAAGACAGATGCCACAACGGGGAATGTTGTTTTTTTCTGTTGCTCGCTGACATATGACGTTTTCGAAAGTTTTGTCATATTTCCCTTCACAGGTTTCATCAAATGGAATACGTGTTGGAAGCAATTTTCGCCATTTAACATAATGAGTGCGACAAAAACAGGTATCCCCTCCGCAGCAGCCGCACTAGGCTTCACGTTCGTCCTTATGTGTTAGCATTCCAGTTTTTGGTTATAGTTCATTGGTTGGCGTTAATACCTCTTGATGTTGGAGAATTCGCTCTTCTTTTTTTTTCTTCGCGAAGATCCGAATGGGAGGGCATTTTAACTCCGGAATTCTTTACTCTAAGGATGTTCATCATCATTTCTAATTCTAATCCAAGTCAGTGAGCACAAAAAATGAAAAAGAAAGATAAAATAACGGAGAAGAAGGGATAGAGTGTTGAAAATCGAAAGACACGATCTCAGAGACCAAGACAGTTCAAATGGAATCGAGGGTTGGTACTGCCTCGGTCGAAGAAAAGCTCTTCTCCCAGTTTTCACGTTCTCAGTGATGCAAAGATGATAAAAGAAGATGGCCAGGATTGACCAGATAGAAAGGATAGGGAAAGAAGAGGAAGCACTTTCATGAATGAATAATAGTCCCGTATGGGTGACGAAGTAGAAAAAAAACGAGAACGTCTAATAAGAGCTGGTTTACAATAGCGACCGGCTACCGCTGATTGTGTGTGGATTATGAATAAGATAGGTAAGGTAAAGAGTAGATCTTTGGTAGGAGGTACCCTGGTAAATAAATATACAAGATCGAACCTCCAGAGGGATTCTGAAGAAGGACAACTTTACAGTGACTCTATTCTTTCTTTAGCAGAAATGATAGTCATTAGTCATAAATTTACTGTAGGTCATTTCACATTTGCTAATGGGCATAAAAGACCAAAGCCAAAGACTAGAACCAAAGTTTACTAAACACAGAACACAGAACTCCACTTGAAATGTGTGGCGCCACCTTTTACAGAATAGCATTGACTATATGATCAACTTTATGAAGATAGCACAGCCAGCACCATCTACACAGCGGTTGTGCTGTTAAATTCCCAAAACTGTAAACCGTGCGGTGCGGTGTTGTCATGTCTACTAAAAATTACAAACTTTATTATTATATACTTATGCCGCGTTCCCAGGAATTTGTAAAAAAAATAATGGAAAAAAAAAGTCCAAAAGAAAATTTTCAAAAAATCAAAGGGACCCTATACTTTTATCTAGATAGAAAATCACAAAATCAGTTAGATCAGCTGATTCCACAATCACCTCCTCCCTACTCCCATTCCCATTACGTCACAACAGAGTGCCGTGCGAATGCAAGATTGCGAGTGTCAAATGCAGAATCAAAAAAATCAGCAGCCTTCGAAATCAATCTAATCGGTGCTCAAAAAGTTAAAATTTTTATCAAAATCTCAAGAGTTCCATGTAAACATGTTATCAATTTGTAAACAGACTCTCTCCCAGTCTTTTCAAAGGTCAGTATCGATTTGACACCATTTTAATCAGTCCCAAATAAACATTTTGTTATCGTGGTCTGAAGAAGTCAAGATAATATACCACTTGACTGTAAAATTAAAATGACCTTCTTATGATAATGAAATTTTATTTAATTTACAAAGGATATTTTTAGAATTGCGTTTATGTGTATAAAATCCTATTCAAAAGCTGTTATCCAATACATTCAATTTGTCCTTCACTACCCTACACAGCTGAGCACAATGGAAAATTCCACGACTGCCAGCTTAAAAATCAATATTTTATTGGTATAGAATATGTGTGTATGTTTTTCATTTATGTTAATAACTATATAAAAATTAAGCAGCAGTTTTTTTTTTTTTTTTAATCTACAAATTTGATTAATTTGCATTCTGCTCACTTGATGCAAAATGTATTTCTTTTGGCATGCCCTGCACAAAACAGTCAAAAAGTACCTATTCCCTTTTTTTATGTGAATGTATCTAGTTTAGTACCTTTGTTACTTTTTATTACTGGAAAGTATTTTAGTCACCAAGAAGTATTAAAGTTTTCTTGAGGTTTCTCAAAACTTATTGCGTTTTTTGTTTTATGTATTATTCATTTTTGGTATGTAGCCATCCCACTGTGTGAAGAGGGTGTTATACCATAGCTTCTAGATGTAGACGTGCAGTTTGATAGTTACTTAGGATCTATCCAACTTGACTTGGATATAAGCCAGGTTGTCATGGTCCAAGTGTACTTGGATTGTATCAACTGCTTATCCAAGTCCAGTTGGATAGGTTCTAACCGAGGGGTCAACCACTTCCCGAAATACGTGTACACTCGGCCTGAATTACCTGCGAAATACTTCGAAGTACCTAGAAATACCACGAAGTACATCGAAATACCAGGAATTCCCGTCGAAGTACGCGAAATCCCATGAAAATACCCTCGAATTACCGCGCGAAGTCCAGTAATACTAAAAAATTATCGTTGATAACGATTCTTCTTGGGAATCGCGGTAGAGAATTTTTGCTCGGATTTTTGTCTTCTGATATGATAGATATATTCTATTCGGAGGACAAACAGGATTCAGACAATTAAATCCTCGATTAAATCAATACTTAGTGATGTGATGCAGTTGAATGTTCTACAAGGCTGTTAAATACCTACTACTTATTAACTCACTGACATTGATTACTTGAACATATCAGGAATATCCGAGGGGGAAAGCACCTTAGAATTTTGGTGTACAAACTGATAGAATTTTTTAGAATTATCAATATTTTTTTAGCATTTTTTAGTATTTTCTAGCATTTTCTAGAATTTTTTAGTATTGTTTGGAATTGAATTAGAATTTTTTAGAAATAATTTAGAATTTTCACCTATTGCGCATGTTCAAGAGCCTGCGCACTGCGCAATCTGTTGGGATTTTTGGAAATTTTTTTGAAATTTTGAATTTTTCGAGAATTAGCATTTTTCAGAATTTTAGAATTATTTTTGGTGTAAAAAATTAGGTAGGTGGGTTCCCCCGAGCGGGAAACCTTCTTAGAATTTTGGTGTACAGGGTGATCTATTATAAATGTCACCCCCTTCTAATTTTTTCATTTGACATTTTTGACAAAAGTGTCAAATACAAAAGTTTCAATAAATTGTCGAAAGTTTTTAACTAAGTCAGGTTTAGACATACAGGGTGTGTCAAAAAAGTGTAGCAGTGTGAAGTTATATTTTTTTAAATGGAACACCCTGCATATTGTGCGCTTATTTGTTAGTCCCTTTTAACATGATTTCAATGATACGATTTGATGTTTATCTTCGATATTTATAAGGAAAAACATGAAAACCCCGTTTAAGGTTTCATATTGAAAAAAGAAAAATTATACCATTTAAGCTTTAGAGAATTTTTTTTTATGAACAGTTTATTGTTCAAATTTTATTCATTAATATACAAGGTGAAATATTATCTTATAATTAATCCAGTTATTATTATTACAGTAGTGTCACGATAATCCGATCCCGCGATAATCCGTATGCTTCTGTAATCCGCATCGCATTTTTGTTGCCTTGATGTACTCTGTAATCCGGATTTCGCTTGATTCAGTAATCCAAATTCATTTACATGACTCTTGAAAATAAAATCATAGAGTGGTGGGACTCCGTGGCATATAGAATTCAACATATCGCATGCCGCACGTACAGTGTACTGAGTCTATAGAATCCTGTCGATATGTAGAATTCTACCTACGGAGTCCCTGGGCAGGTTTTTACTTGTCGTTTTGTAACTGCGTTCAAGTGGATAGGTAGTTTTTACATGTCTACACGCATCATTCAATACGCAGCGTCCTTCCTGTCGGTGTGGACTTTTTCAAAGAAAATGGCACAACTTCTTCCAAGCGGTGCAGAAAGATGTAGAAGAAATTGGACAAAATTCAAATGGTGAAAATAATGTAAACGAAAGTTGGAACAATATTGACTAGGTAGTTATTTGTACACTTATGTCCTACATACTTAACATATTTCGCACTCTAGAACTATTTTTGTCATTTGTCTTGTTTTTCAAATAAATATAAAGCTTTTTTTGCCTAAATACAGCATGTTATTTTTTCGGAATAGTTTTGAAAGCGGACTGTAAAATGCCTTGATAATCCGGATAATTTGATAATCCGGATTGGTCTGGTTTTAATTGATCGATTATCGCGACACTACTGTATTTAAAAAAAAAAACATGAGAGAACTAGCAAGGGATTTTCGCGTTTTTCCACATAACTATTGAAGATAGACAGAGACATATCAAACCGTATATCGTTGAAATCATATTATCTGGTATGGTGCTGGAACTGGTAAGGGGACTAACAAATAAGCGCACAATATACAGGGTGTTCCATTTAAAAAAATATAACTTCACACTGCTGCACTTTTTTGACGCACACTGTATGCCTAAAACTAACTTGGTTAAAAAAAAATGATAATTTCTTAAAACTTTTGTATTTGACAGTTGACGCTTCTGTCAAAAACGTCAAATGATAAAGTTAGCAGGGTCGACATTTATAATAGATCACCCTGTACAAACTGATAGAATTTTTAGAATCTTCCAGAATTATCAGTATTTTTTTTGCATGTTTTAGTATTTTTTAGCAATTTCTAGAATTATTCAGTATTTTCTAGAATTGAACTAGAATTTTTTAGAAATAATTTAGAATTTTTATCTATTGCGCATGCTCAAGAGCCTGCCCAATTTGTTGGGATTTTTTAGAATTTTTTAGAATTTTTTAGAATTTTTAGAATTTTTTGGGACAATAATAACATGAAAATTAGCATTTTTCAGAATTTTAGAATTTTTGGTGTACAAAATTAGGTAGGTGGTTTCCCCCTCGGGAATATCTTTCCACTTGTTCCAATTAATCTACAGTAAATCCAAATTCTGTTTAGCCTGTTCAAAGATGGACTATAATTTCCAATCTATAATATTATTACAATTTTAGGTACTGAGAAATTAACTATTCTCGGTACAAAAAAAAATAATATATTTCTAAATAGCTCGAAATACCTCGGGTCCACGCGAAATACTTCGAATTACCCCGAAATACCATAAATATCCTAAAAATCCCACAAAATACTTCGCAGTACTACGCAATACCGCAAAAAAACTAGGTACGAATTACCATCGAAATCCTCACCGAAAAACTTGGAATTTCCCGAAGTACCAGCGAAATACCGACATTTTGGCAATACGTGTACACATTTTTACAGAGTGGTTGACCCCTCGGTTCTAACATTAGGCTGACTGCCAACTTACTTGGTCCAAGTTCTCATCCAAGTGCACTTGGACCAAGCACTTGGAACTTGGAACGTGTCAACCAGGCTTAAGTGCGACCAGCGAGAATTGAATGTCAAACGGCGGCCAATATGCAAACTAATATTTCTATCACGCACGATTCCATTGCAACTGTGTATTTTCATATTGTGTCTTCCTTCTCCTTCACCTCAGACCAAAACGCTTTTTTCCTAGTTGTCAACCTATAACAGCTCGAGCGAGAGCTCGCATAACAGCTTTAACTGCTGCAGACATACTTACCTAAATGAGTAGAGTTACATTTATTTTTTTAATAATTAAGCATACTAAAGTAAAGACCCGAATGACAATGCCAATTTTTGTGCTCTCGGAGATCTGTGCAAAAGAAGAGCTAAATACTGCTACAATAATTTCATAAATAGAACTGAGAATTTTATAAATGTTGATCCCTCGGTTGATCCTAAATCATTCTGGAGGTTTGTTCGTATGACAAGAGCAAACAATAATATACCTCTTTCCTTAAAATATGAAGATCGATCTATGATAGTAATGATGGTCAGAGTAATGCTTCATTATTTTTAAAATATTTTTCATCTGTGTATACAGAGTCTAACCATGAAGCTCACTTTAACTTATTGGAAAATAGTTCTGTTGCAAGTAATTACAGTATTGGGATTGACGATATTTTTCAGCAATCGATGGTAATAAAGGTGCTGGGCTAGATGGTATGGCCCCTCTGTTCAAAAAAATTGCGCATTTGCATTGTCAAGACCGTTGTGGCTTTTATATAACAAATATTTAGAATCAAAAGTATTTCCAGATGTATAGAAAATCTCATTTGTTACACCAACTTTTAAAAATAATAGGTCCAGAAACGATGTTGGAAACTACAGACCAGTTTCCATAATGTCTCATTTTCCTAAGGTTTTTGAATGTTGGTTCACATATTCGCGTCCTTGGTTTAGAAGTAGTGGATGACAATAGTGAGGTTTAGGGCAAGAGATCAAACTCCTTGATTAAAAATTCGTCGACGTTTCGGCCTCATATTAGGCCTTCTTCAGGGCTCTTCTTCAAATTAGGAGCTTTCATAAACACTCAACTCTAAAAACTCCAAACTGTACATAATTATTTGCAACATGATTGAAACAAAACAACACAGACTTAAATTGCGGGACAAGATTTCAATGACACACTAGACCAGTTGAATTTGGTTGCTAGTATGTCATC